AGAACACTGAGGTTGCTAGATTTAGTAATGATTCTAGACTCTGTTCTGGCCCCAGGGCCGGCTTCTGGAGCTTCCTCCTAATGTCTGCTGCTGATTGCATAATAAATTTGACTTTTAGTATTAGGTGACTCTTGGAGTCTGGTGACAGGGGAGTATACTTTCTTAAGGCTTCCCAAAACTGCTCAAGGAAGTCTGTTGGGTTTCCTTCCTTTCCCTGAGTTATGGTGAATAACTCTTCATAGTTTATGGGCTTTTTCCTAGTTTGTCTTACTCCCTCAAGTATGCAGGTCAATAAGTGCCTATGACTCTAATCCCCATGTTCTGAATCAGGATCCCAGCAAGGATCCATGCTAGGGACTGCCTGTCTACCTTTAGGGAATCTATCCTTCTCCTCTGATGTCATTTGATCATGTACTTGACTAAGGTACCACGTGTCCCCGAACTCTTGAGCCATTGCCAGATCAGCCTGTCTCTCATTACTGGTTAGGGTCTGACTAAGCAGTAACATAATATCTTCCCAATTTAATAGAAGGACTGACCCGGGCCCTGCAGAACATCCATGTACTTGTCTGGGTCATCTGAAAATTTTCCTAAGTCAGCCTTGATTTGCTTTAAGTCAGAAAGAGAAAAGGGAGTATGTACTTTGGTTGGGCCAAATTCTCCTCCTACTGCCTGTAGGGGGCAGAGCTGGGCCATCCTAGTAGCCTTGGTGCCTTGACCACCTCGGCTTTCCCTGACTCCTCGATATGGGGGTAGTGCTGAGGAGGGGCCAGTAGTGTATAGGTTACAGGCCTTACATAGCTAAGGATTATCCCTTAGAAATAAGAAAACTTGTACATAGGGGACCTCAATCCATTTACCTTCTGTCTTACAGAACAGGTCTAATTGTAGAAGGATGTTAGAGGGGTGTTATAATTTACACTTCCCTTAGGAGGCCAGGTTTCTCCACCCTGCAAAGGATATTGCAGCCATGCTGTTTGGCAGGAAAAAAAAATGAGCCCTTTCTTCTTCAAAGATTGTGGGTCAAATTGGTCCCGGTTATCCAGGATATACTTTCAGGGTGATTTTGCCTTGGGAACAGTAGCACCCATCTGAAATGGAACACAGGGATGCCCGCATCCCTGGTTATTCCTTGAGACTCCTAGCCCTGGAGCATTCCCCAGTTATAGGACGTTGCAGTTTTCCTCACGCCCTAGGTGCATAATCATCTTCTGGGTCCCCCATGTGCCAGTAATCACACTTACTGGCATCATGGGCACACCCTCACTGTCTAATGTCCTTTTTGGCCAGCTTAAGGACATGAGGACTGCTGGGCTTTGTGGCCCTATACTGGCATTTCCTTAAAGAACTAGGCCAGTGAGTCTTGGGCGATGGATGCCAGTATTGCCTAGCAAGAGTTCAATTAGTATAGGCCTGACCATCAAACTGCCCTAGGAGGATAAACTCCTTGGGAGGGGCATCTAAACACAACAATCTTAAAGAAGGTAATGGCTGGCCACATGGCCAAGGCTGGAAAAATGCCCTCAGAACCCTGGCCTTCTCCCCACCCCACTTTCCATTCTAGGAATGGACATAAAAATGCAAGATCTCATATTATGTAGTTAGTATTCATTTGTTGTTATGTAACTTTTTAAAAATGCTTTAACAGCCTTGCGTAAATTCTGTTGTCTGTCTTGTGCTCCAATTAAGATTCATTCAAAATATTCCTTTGGTAAGACATTATTTACAAAGTACTAATCATAAAAATAAGGCAGGAAAATAAGAAAAATGGGCATTTTCTAACATCAACACATGATAAACACTTTAAATGTTATATTTAGAATGTACATTTTTTTTTCTTTTTTTTTTTTTTTTTTGAGACAGAGTTTCCATTTTTTTGCAACATCAGTAGAAAGGACAGAGTGCCTGGAAGCTAGTTTGCCAATTATGGGCAGTACCAACAATAAGCACTCAAATAACTATGTGAGCAGCAGACACAATAGGGTAAAAACTAGAAAGCAGAAAGAAAACAAGCATCAAGGTAAAGAGAAGTGGCAGACTGAGTTTTGGGGCATACATGAGATACTCCATTTTAATCTTCCATAAAAATGGAGAGAATCCACAGAGAGATATTTAATTATCAACAACAACGTTTCTGAGGCTGTAATCCACCATGGTTTGAGAATTAAAAGGCCTCAAGTCACCTTGATTTAATTACAAACAGTAAAGTTTCTGAGGCCTCCATCTACCATAATTTGAGAATATAGCCTTGTGTTTTAGTCACAATCTTAGGATATTCAAGTTACAATAGTAATTATAGTAATTATAGCAATGATAAAATTGATTACTAACATAGTATTCTTAGGATTCAACATACACTTTTTGTTTTCATCATGACATTAAACATGTAAAATGGATAATACTATTCCTGTTTTACAGACGAAACATTTGAAAGTCAGGTGTATTAAGTAACTTGTCCAAATAACATAGCAAATAAATGTTTTTGGTATTCAGATTAGTTTTTCTTACTATTGTGTATTTAGCCAGCATTGCTACAAAATATGGACTCACTTGGTATATTTTTACACATGAAAAGTACTTGTTTGGTACATGAATAAATTCTATGTAGACTAAAACAACTGACAAAATGGAATCTAAAAATAGAAACAATATAGAATATAAAAAGCATATATACATGTACATATATATATATATATCCATCCTCTTTTACTAAACTGTTTTATAATGTAAAATACAAAAAAAGATTTTCATTAAAATCTAATGAGCTCACATCTCATTGTTCAGAACTGAATCATTTCTCCTCTTATATCTGCAAAAATATAATAGAAAATGTATATTTTTCGTGTGGGCATATTGACATCAAGTAGTCTCTGCTCTGTGTCTGAAAGAAAAATGAGCAGGGGTACTAGATAAAGTCAATAGCTATGAAGTATGAATACTTAATTAAATTATACATTTAAAAGAATGAAAACAAAGCAAAACAAATTAATGTCATACTGTTTTTCTCTAATTGGCACAGTTTTGTTGTTGTTGTCATTGTGTTGTTTGCTTCTTTAGTTATATTGTGCTTGTTGGTTTAAAATGTTCCCCATTGGCTAAAGTTTAAGGAATAGTATTTCATATATTGTTGATGAGAAGATGACTGACAAAGTACAAACTTTGTCAATTAGGTCATTTGACAGTGTGTACAAAAGCATACATTATACCTCATGAGATTTAATCTCTATGGGAACAGAAACCTAGGTTATTCCTTAGATGGCAATCAGACAGTGAGCTGAAGATAAATGCCAGCCTCAGAACAGACATGCACTAAATGTTCTTGGAGTGAATGAGTGAATACACCTAATTGTTATAATTCCAATACTGAAAAAGTATCCTACATAATAAAAACTATTTGCATATAAATGTATGTAAAATAATGCTAAATTTAGCCTTGTATCTGTAAAACTATAAATGGAAATGACATGCATATTCCAAAATATGACTGCTTGATTAAATTACATTGTTTTCAGAAAATGTAATGTTGGAGATTACAAATAGTGATACTAATAGAGAAAAATGTTTATGCTAAGTGAAACAGCAGTTGCCAAATATTACACTGCAAATGAAATTAAAGCTGTAAAAGCATGCTACTTTATACATCTAATAAAGTGAATACCTATTGGGTGTTAAATACTATTATGAGGTTAATTCCATTCTCATAACTGATTTGATCTTTAGATTTATCTTCAGGCTTATGAGGTCACTATTACCAATGAAATGTTAATTAATTATTTTAAGTCTCACATCAGTCCTAGGAGGTCAGTACTAGTTCAATCACCAGGAAACCAAATCACGGAAAGGTTAATTACCTTGCTGTAGAACACACATTTAAAGAGTGGCAGGGAGAGGGTTTGACTTCAAGGAATTAAGCTCCAGAGCCATTCATCTTAAACCTACTCTGTGCCTATAATTATAAGCATTTTATTTATTTTCCATCTTGTGTCCCAAATTATGGTAATATTTATTTTTTATATTGAGCATGTATTGTTATAACACAAATGGAAAGGCAATATTTTCAGAGGACTTTTTGAGAAATGCCTTCTTTTTAAAAAAATATATTTTAAGAGATTTATTCTGAGCCAAATATGAGTGAGCATGCCCATGACACAGCCCTCAGAAAGCCCTGTGAACATATGTTCAAGGTGGTCGGGGTACATCTTGGTTTTATATATTTTAGGGAGGCAGGAGACATCAATTAAATACATATAAGAATTACATTGGTTTGATTCAGAAAGGTGGGACAACTCAAAGCAAGGACTTCCAGATTATAGGTACATTTAAATATTTTCTGCTTGAGTTTGTTTAAAAACGTAGCATCTATAGAAAGGAATCTTTCAGGTTAAGTCAAAAGACTGTGGAGACCAAGGTTCTTTTGAAGTTTTATAGTGACTGCCCTTAGAGACAATAGATGACAAATGTTTCCTATTCAGATCTTTAAAAGGTACTAGACTTTTAGTTAATCTCTTCAGTGTTGGGGGGTCCTGGAAGAAAAAGATCTAGCTATGCTAATAGAGATTATTTACAGATGCAGATTTTCTGCCACAAAGGATGGCTTTGCAGGGCCATTTCAAGATATGACAGAGAAACAAGTTTTGGGGTTAAATATTTTGACTTTTTCCTTGTCTCATAATGTTATGCCAGAGTCAGATTGGAAAGCCAGTCACGATATATGAGGTTAAATGAAACTCAATCTGATGAGAATTTTTGGTTTGTAGGGCATGGAGAAATGCTTTCTTAAATAAATAGTAAATGAAAAGAAAAAAACAAGTGTAATACGGAGATGTTTCAGGTATAAGATATTTCACAAAACCAATAAACAGAGAGAAAATCCCCAGTCAGCTAACAGTGTTAGGAATATTATTGGATCCAGGTTGTTGACAGTGGCAGAGTATCACAGGGTATTATGCCAAGGTGGGAGGGAACATAAGGGGGGCTGCTGTTGCTTTGTGAGCTCTCACCTTGTGGTCTATATTTCAAGTCATGGTTTCCCTCACCCTTTGTGTTTTCTCCTCTCCCCATCCAAAGGTACCTACTGGCATATGTACATAAATGTCAGGTCACAGAATCAGAGCTTAATAAATAATTTTAATTTTAATGTGATTGTCAAGGAAAATACAGAATTCATCCACATGTGAAAATATGAAAACTGCCCCACTGATGTAAAAAGTGAAAAAATTGGGAAATATATTTATTATATCACTTGAAGTTTTCTTCTTTGGTAATGGGGTCACCAGAATGCAAAAGCATGTGATCTGTTGTCTTTAACACCCTCTGTAGTCAATAACACAAAGTGATATATATAGACAAATACAAACACATTTATTTGATACACATATATATGAAATATATATTTTTTCCTTCAAAATTCCTAGAAATTGTTATAGTTCCTCCTACTCTTGCAGTGTAATGAAAAGAAAGAAAAGCCTCTTTCAGTTATTTAGTGCTTGCAGGGAGCACCTTGCCCAAATCTCAGCAGCAGAGTGTAAAAATCTTTAATACCTAGGTTTGCTACAGCAAAGCAACATCAAGTTTTGACAACAATAACTGAGGCCATAGATAGTGGTGTAAATAAATCTTAAAATTTTGTCGATTTCAAAAAGATTGAAAATTTAATTCTAATGTGAATGAGATAGAAAATAATTTAGAATCAACATGACAGAGAAATAAGTAGGCCTTTCCATGCAAAAATAAATTGTTAGAAGATTTGCATTATGATAATTATCACAATTTTTAATTAAAAATTTTGCTATGAATAGTCATAGGGTAAAATCAATACCACAGATTAATATAACATAATTTTGTTCATTCATATAAAATATAATAAGTTGTTCCCATGATTTTATAATAATGAAAATATGAACATTCTTGTATATTTATTCCAGTGAGTAAGTGCAAGGATTTCTCTAGGGTAGCAGTTACCAAACTTTTTGATGGGCATTTTTACAGTCTTAAAAATTATGAAGAATGGCAGAAATTTTGTTTGTATGGCTTACATTTTTTATATTTACCATATTAGAAACTAAAATTAAAACATTACTGAAGAATTTATTTTATAATAATAATGACAAAATTAGACCCATTATGTTGATATGTTTTATTGAAAATAACAATATCATCCAAAACAATTAGTGAGAAGAGTGCCATTATTTTACATCTCAATAGAAAAGAGCTAGGTTCACATTTCTTTTTTTCATTATTATTTTTTTTGAGACGGAGTTCCGCTTTTGTCACCCAGGTTGGTGTGCAGTGGTGGGATCTTGGCTCACTGCAACCTCTGCCTCCCAGATTCAAGCAATTCTCCTGCCTCCCGCTCCTGAGTAGCTTTTTGTATTCAATCTGTTGCGATAACGTTGTTTTGCTTGAAGCATATAAAGAAAGGCTGGCCTCACATAGAAGTGACATTAGAAAATTTGCAGTGTTCGATAACACTTTTTAAATAATTGTGGCTACCTTTAATACTATATTCAAACTTGACAAGTGGTAGTTTCTTCGAGATTAATTTCAATGTGGAATCTGAAATCATATCAATGAATTTTTCATATGTTGGTATAGTAAAACTCACTAGGTTATCATGTATTTTGAATGGATATTTTACTCATGTATGATTATAACACCACACATTGATTTTTTGGAAAACATTTGTTCATGACATATTTTATTATCTAATATTGAAATAATAAAAATAAATTGCATTTGTTAATATTGCCACATATCATAAAAGCTTTAAGTATTGGAATGATGTTAAAGCACGCGGAGATGGATACAAGTTTCTCGAATTCTAATTCTTGCTTGAGAGTGACTTTTTTTTTTAACAGTCATTGCATAATGGTGAAGAGAATGTTACTATCCGTATAGTTTGGTTTCTCCATCTTAGTTTGTGATAAGGCACCAGGAGATTTAATCACTATTGTTTTGCACCAACAGTGCAAACATCAGTAAAATTATTCCAGGGTAAACAATATCATGCAGAAGGGTTATTTGGCACCTGGCATATTTTAGCACTACTCACGTTTATTGCTAAGTATTTGTATAAATTTTCTTCTATGATAATTAATTTATACTTATTCTGCACCCAATACATGAAAACAACAAGTGTAGCTCCATGTTGTATTCAGCCATTAAGGATTTACAAATGGATGAATACAACATGGAACTACACTTGTTGTTTTCATGTATTGAAAACAACATTATACATCAATTACAATCCTGAAGGCAGGATGCTAATTCAGCTTCTGTGTTTTCAGTTGGATCATTAATTTGAAGATTTACATATCATTGAAACCACATTGACATGATTTCTTTTATTAACTTTTCATTTGGCAGACACTCCACCAATGGCAAAGGTTCAAGGCTTTATAAGTTTCTCAGCTATCATGTACAGTTATCCAACCAATGAAATATAATTTACACTGTATGAGATTCCATGATTTTTTCACTTTTACTTTGAAAAGATGTCAGAAAAGACTTTCAACTTTAAAAGAACTCATCATGTTTACCTTTAAAATATCTAAATCTTTTTTTTTCTTTAAACTTTCAGTGAGTGATTTCAAAAAGATGCCACATTTTAACTGACACATAATACCATTCAAAAATGTTCTGTGGTATAAGACACAATGAGGCAAATTGTTAACATCACATAAAGCTGAGAGAAAGATAGTCTTTGTCATCTTTTCCTTTCTTAGTTACAGCTGGCCCAGTTTCTTCAGATTAGTTTCCCTTTTCCATGAGTCAGAATACTAACTGAAATGTCAGATTTATCTTTTTCAGCATCTATAGTCATAGAGGATGAAGCTGTGAGCTGAGAAAACAGGTTGCAGAATCATCCTTACTCGGCCAGTGTTCTGGCAGTAACTATTAGAAAACTATAATGTGAATTTTTTTTCATTTTTAAATAATATATTTTTATTATAAAAAAAACTATTTCAGAGGAAATTTAAGCATTGACAAAACTTTTTTAGTAATATTTTAAAAAAGACATGCTAAACAAGAATATAAAATTTTCTTAGTTCTTGTTGTGTTTCCACATATTTACCTTCACATTTACAATAATTACTCATGTATTTGGAGAAATTTCTGGTTTCTGACTAGTTGCATTCTCTGATGCTCTTTTTCCCCATTCTATTTTACATTTTCTATATTGCTTTCTTTGACACGATTAAGTTATTTTGTTGTTTTATCTTCAAACTTTTTGTTAGTTCATTATTTGTTTTTATATGCTGCAGAGATTTACTCAGTTTGGGTAAAGGATGCATTTGACTCCGTAAAACATTCTCCCATGAGGATTTTATTTAAAGACAAATTTGAGTTTCGGGACAAAAGAACTAGAGTCCAGGCAAGCAGTGGAGGGACAAAAAGGTATGATAGCTCTCAGCAAAGTCTTTAGGTACATAATTCAAAATATTATGACTTTCTAAGACCAATCATAAAGGTATCAAAATATCAAGTGGCCACAAATTTGTGTTATATGTGCCAAAGCATAATGCTTATCCTTTTTCCCTCTACATTATTTGCAGATAACAATAAACCATGAAGTACGGCATTATCTGAAGATAACTTGGTAGTTTGGTTCAGGTAGTAGGCAACGTCATGTATAAGCTCCCCGCTTTCTCCTTTCTCAGGCTGTATTTAAGAGATAGTGAATCTGTAGGGACCTATCTCAGATGGCTTAAATGGGTTCAAATATGCAGTACTTTTCTAAAATTAAATGCTCAGGTAAGTTAAATGTCAACCATTGAAATATGTATAAAATTTAAAAGTTAATATCCATTTCATTCTATGAGTGGTTGCCTAAAACTCAGTGGAACAAAAACACATGTTGCGTTGTTGATTAGTCAAATGACTGAAGTGACACTAAAAATTGGAAATTGGAGAGTACATTTGATATTAAATTTATGAAAAGTATAGATCATGGTAGGATAAGATTCTAGCCTTAGTTCATTTTTAAAATCTTTCGACAATATTAAACACTAGTTTTTTGGCTTTTCAACCTATAGAATACACAGACTACATATGATTAATTTAACAAAAACTTATTATTTAGCTCTCAGGTAAAATTTTCTAGTTAATACTGAAGTGAATGCAAATATAATTTATTTTTCCAAAAAATAAACTTGAAACATCTCATGCCCTTAGTCTACAGAACCCAGTAACATAATCACTCCAGAAAATATTCATGCATTGACTGATTGTTCAATCATACACTGTTATATTCAAATACATGCAAGGTTCTATATTGCTTTCATATATTATCCTCCATATGGCTTCTCAGTTCTGGGTAACATAGTGTCTTATGTAGCATCAGATTTCGGTAGGTAATAGAAAGTGGGAAATTATTTTTCTCTATTCATCTGTAAACATTTTCAAAAACATACTTAATCCTATATTGCTATTCATGGCAAGTTTCTACATTTCTTGCATCTGATGAGAAGTCCTTAGATTTACCAATCTTCTAGTTAATTTAGATTATTTCTAGTACTCTGGTAGTGTGTATTTTTCTGACCTATTTGCATTTTATCAGACAATTCTTTACATATAGATGGAGCTAAGGGATAATTAAAACTAAAATTTTCTCGAAATTTCTTTCTTATGCTTATCCTAAGAGACTTAGTGAGAGAAGCTTCTTAGTCTTTAAGCTGAGGCCTATTCGTACCAATATTTCTACGCTAAAGCTGCTTTGCCATTCTCAAGTGGTGGATTGATTTATGTGTTTCAATGAGCTTAACCCCATCAAAGTCACACACACTGGAGTGTCTTTGTCTAAGCTCTTGGGGCAGGTAGTGCAGTTCTTCTCTGTCCCTGTTCCTGTCTCCTTATTATGGCAAACATATTAAGTGTGGCTTCCTTCAAAGCCTACTCTTTGGCTTTTTAAAACAGCAGACTCTTGAAAAGGAAAAGCCTTTCATTTCAAGGTTATTGTCCCTGCTTTCAGCGTAAAAATCTAATTTGGAACACAAAACCAATTGTTCTGTTTGAATACATTTTGGTCTTCATGTTCTTGAAAGCAATGAATATTGTTGATCCAATTGCAGGAGA